TGACAAAATTCTTGTCTTATTTCCCATTCATTCTTATATCACTTGCTAGAGGAGGAACACACGAGCTACGTAATACCAAATCACACTGTATAAGTACTGTTAGTTAAGAAAAAGAAATGTAATCCGAAAATCTTCGAAAAGTGGTCGCATAGAGCTATGTCCATTTTGAAAACAAAAAACGGATACATAAAATAAGTGGTCTTATGTAAATTGTAGAGCTATTCACGCTGCATCTTATGGTATATTCTGTTTTTTTTTAATACAATGTATTAAGTGATTGAAAATTGAAATACCATGTGCAAGCATTTATTCTGCCTCATTCGTTATCGTCTAATACAACCAGCACATATGCAAATGAAATAAATCTTATCGAAAGTTTATTATTATGATATTAGCTGAAGTATGATCAAATAGCATAGAAAAACAGAACATTCTTTTCTCTATCAGACTATATACAGAGAAAGTTTCTTAGAGCTTTTTATAAGAAATTATCGAACATCTGCCACTATTTTTGGACTGCCCTAAGTGTTTATTGTCTTTCATTATGATATATAAATGAGGTATCAAGTCTTTATTTTAAAAATCTGTTTGCTAATGACTTGACTATAGATTTTTCACCGTCAACCATCTGGTCATCAACACTGCTCATTCCATATTTTTGTCAACAAATTACCAATATAATAAAAGATCTTTACTTTTATGCAATTACTTGGAAACAAGTATTAAACTTCAAAAAAAACAACTTATTGTACTCTTTTTCATCGGCAAATATCATCAACTATCTCTGCTATATACAGTAGTCATAAAAAGTGCCACACCCAGATGAAAAATTTTTATCATAAATAGAACTCAGTGAATCATGATTGTGGGCACCAGCCCGACCTCGATCAGCTAATGTATAGCGAAATTAGTAGCTGAATTGTATCATCGTCCTTATAAAGACCATAAGCAAAAAATGTGATGCCAGAATACTTTTGTTTTTAGCTTTACGGTATTACAATTTATTTAAGATCTTTTCAGTGCTAAATGCAATTCCCTATGTCTAGTATACTGAATCAAAAGCTCGCCCCATAATATCGAGATCTCATTGATTGACAAGCTGTGCCGTGATGAAGTCTTTTGATGACTCTATCTCGACTTTATTTTGAGCTACCGTTGTAAAAATTTTATCACGAAGTACTAGGTTCATGAAAACTCATGGCTAAAATTTTCAATTGAATCGGTCAAGGTTAAATTGAGTTATTTGACATTAGACTGAAAACTAACACTAACCGCTTGGTAAGCGTTTTCAATACGAAGAGCATATCTCCATTAATTCAAAGTGATTTTTTATCAAACTTTCACAACAGAGAGCACCGATGTTGAGTTTTTGAATGAGGAATCGCACGAAATTGAACGTCGAAAAATGCTTGAGATACGATCTTTACACAGTTATGATACGATTGTACTATTAATTCCATTATACATCAACTGATCAAGGTCGAGCTGGTGCCTGCAATTAGGGCTCACTCAGCTCTATTTATGGTAAAAATATGAGACTAAATAATTGGGGTTTAAATACTTTTCAGCTGGGTGCGACACTTCTTGTGGCTACTGTATATTGTGAAAATAACATAATCGAACAAATTTTCAAATTTAAGTATCTCGTTATTATTCCCGATGTTAGATTATCTTTTATTTTTCATCTCAATTACATCAAATCAAAGATCTAAAAAAAATATTGTAGTATTTAAACGTTTATCTAACAGTCGTATTTTATCCTAGAAATTCTCGTATCGATTATATCATGCATACATTCAGTAATAGTATCAATCTGTTTTAAATATATGTCTAATATTATATTGAAACTAAATAACAGCAAATGAAAGCGCTCAATCATAAAATCTATCGCATCATATACAGATGGTATAACGCTACAAATGATGAAATTAACAAACTTCCAACTTATAAATCACTAGAACTGCTTACACAAATGCATTTCAAAAAATTATTATGTACATTTAGTTGTAGTAAACTATCAGTCATTGCTGATTTTATCCAACACAAATTATATCTGTTGTACTTAAATGAGAATTTCTTGAATCCTTTTCTACTAAAGGAAAAGCAAAAAAATGTAGACAGAGGAAGAATATCAAACCATATACGACAACTAATAACTTCTTGTAAACCATCTCTGTTCGATTAAGTTTTTTGTTTTATGTAAGAAAAGAAAAATCAAACAACAAGGAACATTCTAAAATGTATGCTAAAAGCCGATTTCTCTTTCGTGTATTTCTTTTGCATACACTTTGTTCTATATATATTATTATTGAAAAATTATTTTTTTCAGAAGTGATGACTCAAGGAGATAAAACTATTGGCAAGTTCAAAGAATTTTTTTCTTTTTATAAACTGTGCGCATAATTGTCTTCTTTTTTTATTGTATGATTTCGTATTATAATGATGCATTCTTATTTGGTTTTCTTTTGCAAGACTGCAAAGACAATGTTGGTCTAAGTCTTTCTTCCTTTTATTATAATAAATAAAGCTGTATATACTACGACTAGTATCATATATTTACCCATGCATTTTACATAATTGCCATGCAATATATAGTATCTAATCTTCTATATATTAACTATATTTTCTAAATTTTTTCATTTTTAGATTTGACAACTATTCAATCTCTGCTTCTTTCAGCACTCAGCAATCATTTAATTGGTTACAAATCATTAGATAAGTTTGTAATTCTGTATGTAAAAAAGTTCTTTAACAAAACATTTCATGGACAATAGTTTGATTCACAAATTATTGATAAATATACCTTCCTGAGTATGTCTCACAAACGTTCTGAATAATTAAGAAATAATAGTTATATTATGCAATCGATGATAATATTCTTAATGATTTTTGAATAAATCTTCATAAGACACACAATAGGAGTCTAGAAACATTATTGTATGTTATTTGTCAGTGCACATATTTTATTAACTATCCATAGAAAACTAAAGAAAAAATCATTTCTCAAAAAAAACAGCAATATTAACATTCGAATTGCTAGTATTCTCTACATAAAGTTATTTCGTTTGATAAATATTCATTCATATCTAACGTTTACTAATTCTTGCTAAAAGACCATATTTTGTGCGCATTGTAATTATAAAATCCGGTATTATTTTTTGTCCTGGTATCATTTCAAAATTACAT